GAACAACGCAGAAGAGAGCACCATGAAGTGGTACAAGGAGCTGCAGAACTCGGCCGCTCAGTGCGCTCAGTCCTTCGAACAACTCAACTCTCCCAAAGACGCTCAGGTGGCTCCACGCCGGCAAACTCCAGAATTATTTCATTATTAATTTATTTTTAATGTCTGTATGTGATTCCCTTCCTCCTGGCTCAGACGAAGAAGCTCAAGCTGGAGCTGCAGAAAGCCGCCACCATCCCCGTCAGCCAGATCTCCACCAACTCTGGGTCGCAGCTCCGGGAGATCTTCGACAGGATCGACAAGCTGCTGTCTGGACGGGCCGTGGTGTCCGGCGGGAAGTCCGTCTCCGCCTCCCAGCATCCTCAGGGCCTGGAGTTTGTCGCCTACAAGCTGGCGGAGAAGTTCGTGGTGAGTCTGTCTGCAGGTAGCAGGAGGAACGGCAGAGTGACTGTTCCAACAATTAAAACATTCTGGTGTGAGTTTTCATCACGTTTTCCAGATCTTGAATTGAATTTCTATTTTTATTTAATCATTACATTTTAACACTAATTTGTGTCTCCTGAGTTAAATACTGACTGAGCTGCAAATTGTGGTTTTATCACATTAAGTATTCATGTACCGGTAATACAACAAAACAGGAATAGATTTTGTTGCTGAATAGAAAAATAAACGGTGAAAATAATAAAAAAAAGTGAAAAACCTAATTTCTCATGCACACGGAGATGTTCATTCAGTGAATAAATGTTCAGTGCGTTAACTCACGACAGCCTTCATAATCAACTGCTTATTGGCATTATGTTGTTTTTGTTAGTTTTTCTCCGTTATGTCCTCCTCGTCACTTTTCTTTCGTCGCCTTCATAGCGAATCCGTAATTGTTTTTAATGATAAGTTGAAGCTGCTTCGTCATGCAGCTCAGCTGAATGTTTCACCTTTAAGGTGAGACTTAAGGAGCGTATCGAGGGTTTATATCTCAAAACAGAGCCGCATAAAGTGTTTTTGTTTTTCATCCTACGGTCCCGTTCGGACCGTTACTCCTTCCCGTCCTGTAACGGACCCGCCGCCATCTTAGGCGATGCCGTTGATAGTTTGTGTTCATCGCTTCAGCATGACACGCGGCGCCCTCTGCTGGGTGGCGGTCAAACTACAACACTTAAAGAAGATCTAAGCGAACTTTATTAATTGATTGGAACAATTTTTTTGTCTACTAAACCAATTAATAGACAATCCCTAATGTTAATAGATATTTAATTTCAAATGACCAAACAGTCCTGACTCGTCCTCTGACTCCTGATCTTTTTCCTGAGTAGAAACAAGGTGAGGAAGAGGTGGCGTCCCACCATGAAGCCGCCTTTCCCATCGGTGTGGTGGCCTCAGGCATCTGGGAGCTGCACCCCCAGGTGGGCGACCTCATCCTGGCTCACCTGCATAAGAAGTGCCCATATTCGGTCCCACACTACCCCCCGATGAAGGATGGCACGCCTGTGGAAGAATACCAGAAGTAAGTGGTTCAGAAAAGAAATGGGCGCATTTTGCATATTTTTTATTTATCCACTTAAGCATTTTTCTTGATCTTAAATGAAAATGTTTATATTTTTCATGTAGTTTTAGGTTAATTACTGCTCTGATTTTGTTGTTCTGCCAGCAAAAGTCCATTTTTAGGCTGTATAATCAATTATTAAGTTAATTGACGATTATTTCAATAATTGATTAATCATGATTAATTCCATTAATTGTTTCAGCCCTAGTATTAATGGCATATTTTCTTCTTTTATTCAATTTTATTTGTGATGTGGATATAAGCAGTGCTGGTTTTTGATAAAGAACTAATTTTACAAATATAATTTATAACCAATTACGTGAATAATTGATTAATCATGATTAATTCCATTAATTGTTTCAGCCCTAGCTTTAATAACGTATATTTTCCTTCCCTTTGTTTCTTCAATCATATTTGTGATTTAAGTTATGAGTCACTTTTTGGTAGAGAAGAAACATTAGAAATATAATTTCAAATCGATGAGAATAATCGATTAATTCGATTAATCATTTCAGCTCTAGCTCAGACCTGCTTTTGACTGGGGTAAATTTTGGATCAGATGTAATAACAGTGATTCCCACTCCGACAGGATTCTGGGTTACCGTGTGGATGACTGTGGGGTCGAAGGTCAGGACAGTTTTCTGAAGCGGATGTCTGGGATGATCCGTCTCTACGCCGCTGTGATCCAGCTGAGGTGGCCCTACGGCTCCAAGCAGGGGGTAAACATGCTGCCACTTCCTGTTTGTGTCCCGTCAGGGCTCATGCTGATCGGTTCTGATCGTTTCTGTCGACCCTCAGTCTGTTCCTCACGGGCTGAACCACGGCTGGCGCTGGCTGGCCCAGATGCTCAACATGGAGCCTCTAGCTGACATCACAGCTACGCTGCTGTTCGACTTCCTGGAGGTGAGTCCAAACTGGAGCTGAGGTTCTGGATCTGGTTCCTGAGGTTCTGAGTTTGGTTCCTGATGTTCTGGATGTCATCTGGTCACCCAAACCATTTTTATTTATGTTCTAACCTTTAGAAAAACCGTAAAGAAAGTCATTTAATCCGTCTGTCTGTCCGTAAAGCCAGACTCCTGTTCAAATATCTGCTATAAATTTTCCATGAACTTTTATAATAAAATATTCGGCTCATTTAAGTTCCTAAATATTTGGGATCTGAATTTTAACCAACTGTGAAAGCCTCTTCTGATTTGATTCTTCTTCCAGGTTTGCGGAAACGCCTTGATGAAGCAGTACCAGGGTCAGTTCTGGAAGCTCATCCTGCTGCTGAAAGACGAGTATTTCCCCAGGTACAAACTGAGGCTGCGGTTCAGAAATACACCCTCCATCCATCCTATCAACCGTCTGTCAAACATCCATCCATTCTTATGTGTCTAAATCTGCTGCGTCTCCAGGATCGAAGCGGTGACCAGCAGTGGAGAAATGGGCTCCGTCATCAGGCTGAAGCAGTTCCTCGAGGTTCGTTTCCCTCTCAACTCTGTGACTTTAACGAACATTGTGATAATTAGAGTCAAAGGTTTCAGGAACATTGTTCAAAACTAAAAACACAGGAAAGTTTATTTGATATATGGAGAGTCATCCATCCTAATATCCAGATTAGAGCTGCAACTAATTTTTATTTTAGTGATAGATTAATCTAATGATTATTTTTTACAACTGATTGGATAAAAAACGGTTCACTAAAATTTTTTTTTTCATTTAATTATTTTCATGCAATATTAGAAATGCATTAAAAATTCAAATATTTCAATTACTTATTTTAGATATTTAAATCAATGCTCAGAAAATAGATTAATGAGCTTAAAGTTTGGAACAGGTTGGCAACAAAAGGCTTAGAAAATGTCTTCAGTAGCTGAATTTTATGGGATAATTTTCTCTCCCACTCAGACCTCATTGAAGAGCCGACAGATCAGCCCGCCCAAAGGCCAGCTGAGCGCCACCTTCTGGAGGTCCTGATGAACGACGCTCTCATGGACTTTTAGTTTTTGAGTTTTAGATTTGAGAATCCTGGATTTTCCTCAGACGAACCTAAAAAAAACGAGGATTTCTCTGTGCCGTTTGCGCTGCCCTGCTGTTGAATCGTGTCCCTGGAGACCGGAAAACGTCTGTATCATCGTTTATTTTTATGTTCTCTTCTTTATTTTTATTTTCTCCAGACACACTTCCAGGACACGATGAATTTGGACATTTAAACACTAACACAGCGTCCCGCAAACAGCTCTGGTCCAGTCTTAAGTGCACTGATTTATTTTATAATTTTTTATTTATGTGCAGCATCATATCAAGATTTAAATCTCTAATTAGTATTTTTATTGTTAACCTGATGTTAGTTCTTTCCATCATTTCAGCCTCTTTAATCACTGTTCAAATCAAATATGAAGTGTTTTTGTGAAATTTGAACGTATTTATTATGTTATAAATCCACTGTGTGGAAACTGAGATGCTGTTTTATCGCAGAAATACTTTTATCCTGGAAAATGAAACGGAAATCTGGCTTTTTGTTTTTCTGTAAGTGAAAAAACTGAAGCCAATTGTGTTTATGTATAATTTGTCCTGAATGTCTGATTACAAATCAGTGCCTGAATGAACGTAATCTACAGGAACCAGAACATGAGCTGCAGTTTTTCTTTTGAAATACATTTTTTTTCAGCTGTAAATGTCACAGTAATTTCTTTTCATTGGGAGCTAAAAGGTATGAGGGCAACACTTTAGACATCCTTGATCTTGAAAGGAAAAAGTCAAAGATCCTCCTTTCTGCAAATCCTGTTATTAAAACAAAGCATCAGTAAATTTTGATGGAAACATCAAGATAATAGGTGAAATAAAATCTCAATGCTCAAGTTTGTTTTCTTTTATTTTACATTTCCTTCCCCACAGAGTTGTTACAAGTAATCAACAGCCAACAGTTTGATACATTCCAGTCTGATGGGTGTTTTTATAGCAGACATAAATACAGAGAACCTTATTTTATGGTTCCTGCACAGAAACTAAAAAAATTAACCGTTTTTTTGTCCTTCCTGAAGAAGCAGCAGAAAAAATCTGTAAAGCCTCAAAATTAATGCAAACTTAAAACTGAAAGCTTGTGCAAACGTGACGAAAAGAATGACCAATCTATTTTAGCGATTTACATAAAAAACTGATTTCCATTATTTTAGATTCCCATCATTGTTTGGAAGTGTTAAAATTACTTCATTTTGAACAAATGAAACATGTAATTTGTTCAATTTGTGTTAAAGTAAATCAAAAAGAAATAAATATTCATCTTTTGTCCTTTAGCTGGACTGAAGATCTTTAAATTGACATTATGAGCCTTAAATCTCCAGGTGTGGGCAGATGGAGTTCTCCCTTTCCACCAGTAGATGTCACTAGTAACCTCGTAAAAACCTGGCGCAAACAGAGCAGACGAGGTTTTTTTGTCACTAATGCTGAAATCAAAGTATTGTTAAACTCGTCCGTTTCACAGCGAGGCGGACTCATCCTGAGGCGTTTGAGATTCCTACAAAACAACGAAGGCCATTTTCCAGGTGCGGGTTTTGTCCATTTGGAGGCTCGGAGTTTAAGATCGACCCTCATGGTTGAGCGTGGCTCTCTCCATGCGCATGTACCAGGGTTTGACTTTGGTGTTCGCCATCATGTCGTCAAACGCCTGAAGTCCTTCCATCACTCTGAGGACTCCGAACACCGCCTACAGGTAGGGAATCAACCATAGACATGATATAATTATATTATATTATTATAATATTATATTATGTCTATGGAATCAACGGATTAGTTCGTTTCCAAGAGCCTTTGTATGGCAAGTCACGTAAGACATATATCGCCATTTTTATCGCGCATCAGGCTAAACTGTAACGCAAAAAAACATCGTAAGATACGGCGAAAACCATTCAAAACGCGGCTTTTTAAATCTTTTTGAGGCTAACTTCTGAACTCCGAAAATTACGGCGTTTAGTCTGGTCCTTGAACACTGCCACGCTCCTGAACGTCATCACACGTACGTGAGTATGTACAGCGTTGAATGACCGGAATAAATGCTGTAATTTTCGGCGCTCAGGTAGTCTACGACGGCGTAATAAGCGGGGTTTTGAATGCATTTTCGCCATATTTTACTACATTCCAAGCCAGCGGATTTTTGCCTCCAAGCCCCGGGTCTGTTCTCCAAAAACAAGCCGGCGTTTCCTCACCAGGTCCGCCAGGTTCGGTTGATCGCCACCCATGAACTTCTTGTTCTTGCCGATGGCCGCCATCCAGTCATTAACGGCCTTGTAGAGATCCTGCCTGACGTCGTCCTGCAGGTTGTGTCTGTAGGATCAATGAAGGGAAATAATCATCATAATCTAATAAAAAACGTCAGGAATTAATAAATTCAGAAAATTAGTAGAAACGTACCTATTCTTTAGTCTCTTTGAGATGACGAACATAGCAGCAGCGCCTACGTATTTGGCAAAGAAGCCTTCCACGGTACCGAACTTGCCCTCACGAACGATGTAGTCGAAAGACGCCAAGGCTTCGCCGGTAGTTCGGTAAACGTTTGGCGATATGAGATGTACAAGCCAATCATCGGCCCACTGTCGCCACTTCATCTCCTCTCTGAAAAACACAACAAATCTCTAAACGCATAGCCATAAACCAAGATTACGAGTCAAAATCTATGTAAACATAAAGAAAGGACTCATTTGCTGTCTTCATAAAGAAATGTAAGACCTGTATCACGACAGAAACAAGAAAATACTGCAATAGTGGCAAGTTTTTTTGTTTGTTTGTTGTTTTTTTTGCACAAAATGCACTTATTTATATGGATTAGCAACAGAAGTAACCCAGTGGCATCAAGTGGTAATAAATCTACACTTTCCCATGATAGACGAAAAAAGCTAGCTTTCTGAGTTTGAACAGTTGAAGATTTGCTGAAATAAAATTCTGAAAGTTGGAGATAAATCTCATAAATTTTGTAGGAACAGGAGTTTGAAAAGTCAAAATGTTGCTAGAAAATGATAAAAAAAACTTTTCTAAGTTGTTTCTAAAAAATTTCTCAGATTAATCTAAAAATTTCTGTTTTTTCTAGCCAATTTTTGACTTTTCAAACTCATGAATTTCCTTTTTTTTTTCTAGAAAATTTCAGGGATTATTTTGGCAGAGCTGTATTCTGTCTTTAATGACTAATGCAACCTCATAAATTTCTGCCTCAGCAGCATCATCTGGTCAAAAAGAGCCGTCAGGAAGAGCGGAGCTCCTCGTGGTTTCATGTTTGGACTCACTTCTGCATCCCCTTTGCAGGATAAACGGCAGCGGTTTGGGCCTCGCTCAGCATCAGCCAGTACTTGTTGTTGTACTCCGTCACCTCCTTTCCCCGGTCGTTCACAGACTTCATCTCTGGGTAGCAGTGAATTACGTCCGACAAGCTCTTCTCCCTGGATCAGGATCAAGGTCAGACATCTTAGGACTTGGTTTCTGGGCTGGTTTTATTCTTCATTTTAATCTCATTGGCATTTTTCATGATTTCCAAAGGTAAAAGCTTAATATTGACACACACACACAAACAAATTTAATCCCTTAATGATCAAAAAAGTGATATCTCAGAACCCTCCAGTCAGGAATTAAACCACAGATTCCATTGGAGAAGAAAAACTCTTGTATTCATAAAAAAAAGTTTTAGAAATACAATTAAATAATAAACAAATGCAGCATGCTGTACTTTTTAAACAAGTTTACAATAAAATATGTATGTTCATTATTTAAACAATTTTAAAATTAATTTCAACGTACTTGTTGATCATTAGCGTCCTGAGGGAGCTGATGATGACAGATGAGTCATTCAGTTGCTGCAGAAACAAGACAACATGGTTGTAAGATCAATACTTTGAGTAGAGCAGCACAAAATATTCAATCATGTGTGAAAATGATTGGTTAGGAATATTGAAAAACAACTGCAGGCCTGAGACATTAACAAATTTTGCTGGATTATACATTTTCCAATTTATGTTTGCAATAAACGATATTTCTGTTTTAAGAGTATTTTCAAAAATGTTGATTTTATATATTTTGTTTATATTTTCCTCTATCATCAACAAAATCACTGCACTTAAAATACCGTAAGGACTACACTGAACTCTTTTCTTTTTCATACATTTTGTTTTGCTTGTGTATATTTTCACTTAATCTTAACATCTGTGTTTGATTTGTTCATATCACAATTAAGAAAATAAAAAATAAAAAACTAACTGGAAAATATATTAAATATCCAAAATAAACCCCAACAACCACAATGGAAATAGAAACCACTTATAACTGAAACCAGAATAAGAATATTAACCATCAGAGCTCATTTTAATTTATCAACTTGATTAATCAATTACTTGATTTTTGCGATTAATTCATCTTCTGAATATTTCAATATTTTCTTCAGGCAGATGGATGGACACCAAAAGACCTTAAAGCTCATGGACAGGCTTTTGCAGCTGAGATGATAAAACTAAAGGTGAAGGAAGAGCCAGAAAATCATATTTAATTTTAATTGATCAGCATTGAAATCCTCAGGAATATTATCAGCTGAATATTTTAATGATATTGTGGAGCTTTGACACCAGACCAGAGGGATATTCATCGTTTCTCTCACCAGCTCGCCGCCCACCATCAGGATGGGCACCTTTCTGTACGCAGACCACTTGATCTCCTTCCTCATCACCGGGTTCACCTCCACGATGTCGTACGGCAGCCCGTAGTAGTCCAGAAAGGCTCGCACTTTGCTGCAGAACGGGCAGGTCTTGTACTGGTATAGAGTCATCTTCAGTCCGTCTCCTGAGACCTGCAGCGAAGCAACGAGAGGTAAAGCAGCCGAGGCTTCTGGTCCCATCACAAAAACCTAAAAACATTCACAAAACTCTGATAAAAACCTCCAGTTCTCCTTATGTGTTGTTCTATCTGGCTGGACAATAAATCAATAACAATAAGGATGATAGAATATTCTATAATTTCACTTATCCAGAACCGCACGGCATTCTGGGAGATGTAGCCTATGCCTGTCATGATAACAAATTTTTCTGCACGATAAATTGTCCCAGAAGTTATTGCGATAAATAATAATATTGATGTTTTGAGACCATTTTCACATAACATAATGGTAAAAGCATAGTAATGCAGGAACATATTCTTAAGGTTCAGAAAACTTTAAGTTCTTATGAATGTTTAACACTGGAACTGGAAGACATTTTCAATATCAAAAATATTTAAAATGATAAAGTAAACAAAAAGACTGTTTACAAAAAGTAAACATTGCTTTGAGACTAACGCACCAGACGGAAGACTTTTGTCATCTGCCTTTTAGTAGAAAGAGAGAAAAGAGAAAAACAATAGCTCATGCAAATGGAAATGACTGAGCTTGTTTTAAATTATGCTGCGAATAATTGATTTACTGCAACAGGTCTAAATAGGTCTAGAATACAAATTTATCATGTGACATCACAATTCCAGAAACTTTGAAGCTGATGGCCATCTTGGTAGGTATCCATAACTTACTGTTGATATAGAGTTGTTATGACAAGCCACAAGCTTAAAAATAGATCTTGCCTTGTTTCTATCTAATTTATAGACAATAGAAGTACATTACAAATATTAATCAACCGCAATTTTTGAGTATTCTTCTTTTTGTTGGTCTTGAAGTCTTGGTTTTTCTATGCTTTGCACTGCGTTTGCCTACCAAGATGGCGGCTCAGTGGCACGGATCACGTCCGGTTCAGACTTGTGGGAACTATGTGTGTTCCTGCATTTTAGAAAATAAAAAAATATATATATATATATATATATATATATATATATATATATATATATTTAAAAAGGAACTTAATTATTTGTTTTTCTGCATATTTATATAATTTGACAGTCTAATATGAGTTTAAGAGATTAAATTAACAATCTGCATAATGTGTCAATTTATTTTATCCTATTAATCACCAAAAATAATATATTATTAAAGTAATTGTTGTCTGATATTAAAAAAGATCAAATAAAAATCTGCGTGCCTTTTTTCATCCTATTAATTGTTAGAATAATTGTTAGATTAATCGATAACTAATCATTAGATTCAGCTCTAGTCATGAGTCTGTCATATACAACTACAGTCTTCAGTCAGAGGACTCTTCAGATTCGTTGCATGACTGACTGCTACAGGAGAGCCTTCCTGAATGTAGCATCACCATCCACAATTATTCTTTGGAGATATTTTGATATTTAATTCTCCTTTGGGATAATTAAAGTATTTTTTTTATTTATTTGAATTCTGCTTGGAAATAAATCCAACAGAACCACTGATTGGAGCAGGACAGCTGTAGTTGTACTGTTCATGATGATAAACACTGAGAGCTGCAGCTCAGTTCGACCTCTGGCGACCCCATCGTGTGGTCCGGAACCGACCCCAGAACCCGGGTCCGGACTCACCTTCTTGTCCTCCTCAGCCAGGTGCTGCTGCACGGACAGCTTCAGGGTTTGGTAGAGACCCAGACCTCCTCCGAGCAGAAAGGCGCAGCCCAGTACCCTGCCTCTTCCTGCCCGAACCGAGGACACCAGTCTGGACCGGAGCCCCGGCCCGCCGGTGCTCAACCCTCTTCTGAAGCCGTGAGCGCCAGCATTCCCCAGCAAGAATGACACGGTACCGGTCCGAGCCGCGGCTGGAGTTTCTAGAAAAGACCGTGCGACCTTACAGAGGGTTCTGGAGCAGGCGGCTGCCATGTTGACTTTACGTAAAGCCCCACAATGCACCGGGACGGAGGAGACAAAGGGGTGTGCTGCCCTGAGTTATGTCTGTCAGGATGAACCGAAGGCAGGGACGTTAACGCCTGTGGTTCTCAAACTGTGGTTCATGTAACTTCGGTAGCACCTGTGCTGCCTTTAGTGCACAGATGTCAAACTCCAGTCCTGGAGGGCCACTGCCCTGCAACGTTTAGAAAAACCTAGAATAAAGTCGAAATAATACGAGAATAAAGTCTATTACAAGACTTTAGTCTTATAATATTACAAAGGTATTCTTGTAATGTTGACTTTATTCTTGAAATATTATGGCTTTATTATTTGTATTTATTTATTTATAGTAATTTTATAGTATTATAATTTATATATATATATATATATATATATATATATATATATATATATATATATATATATATATCCTTATATTTTTGTCTCATTTTAAAATATTAAAGATATTGTGATCAACTAGGTATTTGAGTATCTTTTTGTTGTTGTTGTACCAAATACCGTTTTACTCTTTGAGTAAGAGTACAACTGTAAAACTGTACTGAAGTAGTTTTTGACTACTCAGCTGAGATGGGCAGAATTCGCAAAAATTGTACTCAACAGGCACTACTTCAGCATATTTTTATTCAAGTAAAAGTAAAAAGTAGCCGTCCAAGAAATTACTCAAGTAACTGTAAAAATGTACTTTGTAAAAAGTCTACTCAAGTACTGAGTAATTGATCAAATGATCAATTATTTAATATTTAAAAATTACATTATCCAAAATATAAAGTTAAGTGGAAATTTTGGTGTTTTAATGACCAAAATGACAATAACAAAAAATAAAATCAAGCAAAAGAAAATTTTTCCAGATCAGTTTCTTTTAATTAAAAAAACTTACGAAACTTTAACAAATACTGCAGGTATGTGTCTGTGTGAATTTATGGTTAAAACACGTTTGTTCTTCATTCAGTACAATCCAGAAATTTTCCTTCATTATAAAATTACTCAAGTAAAGAAGTACTGCGTAGCAAAATACTCCTAAGAGTACAATTAAAAAAAAAGTTACCCAGGTAACTGTAATTGAGTAAATGTAACTAGTTACTACCAAACTCTGACTGTGAACGAAATAGTTCGCCAAGTTTCTCATTCGGAACGCTCACGTCGTGATGCGTTCAAGAGCGTCGTAGATCGCAGCCAGTCGTCGGACCGCAGCAGCAGCATCGGCAGAAGCAGCAGCATCCTCCATTAAAGTGTTACTTCTCGGATCCCAGCATCTCCTTTCCCTTTTCTTGGACAACACCGCTCCCCTTATTAGGATGTTGGTACGCGGCGGGGGGTTGTTTGGGAGAGCTGAGGCCAGAGGACGCCGCCTCCGCGTATTTTTTCTGGCGTGACTGGAAGGCAGCGGAGCGACAATGGATCTGGTTCCGAGGAGACAAATCAAATTCTGATTTTTCTCTGGGATTAGCTGGCTAACGCTAGCTCGGCTAGCCACCCCCTTAGCTCGGTGGCCGTTATCTCCTCTTCCTCCTCTGACCGCTGTGCTGTTTTCCTCCGTGATAAAAAAAGAACTCCTTAATGCTTTTTTTATTGACGTGAAGACATGTTGGAGTCATTCCTGCCAAGGAGAAACCATCCTAGCGGTTTTCTATCCGCCCAGCGGCGACGCTAGTTAGCCGTGTGCATCAATAACCTTCATTTCCCCCTCCCACTCGTTTTTTAAAACCCTTTTTTATTTTTCCTCTGGTGTATCCGTGAAGATGCTGGCAGAGATGGAGTGTGTCTGACGGGGAAGCCGCTCCATGAAGGTCATGATACTGAGAGAATGATCATGCTGGAAAAACAGGTAAGAAACCAGCGGAGCATCAAGTCAGCGGGTTCATATTTAAATACACACCTGGGCTCATTTGCATATTTCCACAGATGCGCTATTAAAGCCATCAGCGTGATCTGATTTTTTCAGGCTGTTTTCACGGTGAAAACAGCCTGATGGCTGAAAACAGCCTGCTGAGAAAATTCCTGCTGTGAATTTTCTTAGCAGGATTTGTGTCCCTTCTCATGTGTGGTCATAATATCTATGAAATAATGAGGGAAAGCAAGTGTATTTCTGCTTTATTGGGAAATAAAGAAAAAGAGGTGAAGAAAATTGAATTAATGCATAAACATAACTATCAAGTAAGTAAAAATATGAAACGAATAGTTGTAGATGTTGATGGCTGTTGGCAGAGAGGATCTCCTGTAGCAGTCTGTGTTACAGTGAATCTGAAAAAGTCTCTGAATGAAGACAGTTTTTTTTTGGAAAGCAGTCTTATGAAGAGGATTTTCAAGATAAATGTATACTTACAGATAAAATAGCGGTTCTTTATATATATTTTAATGATTTAAACTCAAGTTAAATGATAAATTTTGCTAAAAGAGAATGAATAGTTTTTTTTTTATGTGGGACGGCAAATTATGTAAAATTTTAAAAACATAGAGTCCAGCCTAATTAAAACAGATCTAAAAGCATATCACTGATATTTTTAGTTGTATTATTTGCTGAAATTCAATGTAAAATGTTGCAGGAAACAGAAAAGAAACTGTTAAAAGCATGTATTTCTTATATTTATATTTAAAATATTAGCTGGTTCTGTTGGACTATTAGAAACTCATTCCTCTAGTTTCTAATCTTCTGACAATAAAACCGTGCACTACTTTTTCTGTGTCTTGTTTCAACAGGAAACCCTTAATTTCAGCAATATTTTTAGCCAAACTAAATTAATTTAATAAAAAGCATTTCCAGATAAAATTCGATGCTCATAACATGTTGGGGGAAATTTGTAGCCAATCAGGAGATTAAATGTTGCAGAAAATGTATTCTTAGACTTGTTATGTTGTATTTCTGTGTCTTTTCTTGATAATCTGCAAATGTTTCCACTCAGACAGAACTTTAGGGGCAGTTTAATTGATTATTTCTGGTGGTTTATAGAAGGAAATGTCCTTCAGCCGGTGCAGCTCATAATCTTTTTACAGGTTTGTTTTGTTTGAGACGACTGCTTCCTGTTTTTCCCGCAGCAGCTTCAGCCTTCAGATACATCTTTACTCTGTTCTTCTTAAATTAAACAAATGTTGTAAAAGTCTTAAAAAGATTGTTGTTGTGGTGGTTTTATCTTCAGGGAAACATTTTGTTAATTAATCTGCTAGTTGTTATGCAAGAACGTGAACTATCCTGGTGTCTGTGAACGTTGATAACGCCGTGCTAATAAGACTAAGTAATGTGAGCTGGAGAACAGAACCATCGCCGTGGTGTGTTTGTGTCTGCGTGGGAGTTGGATCTGGGATATTTTGGGGTGTTTGCTTTCCCAATGCATGCTGGGATATGTAAATAAGATTTTAAATAATGACAAAATAAGTTGGAAAAACTAAAGCAGAATTCTTAGTTTGCTTCTTTTTATTAATAAAAAATGAAAAATCTTTCAGTTTTCATATATTCTCCTTATGTAAACAACAAACTCCTATAAATAGTGATAATTATTCATTTTTAAAGCTAATTGTTGTTGGCCTTTTGTGTGATCTGAGTAATAAATGAATGAAAATAAATCCTAAAACTATAATTCTAACTGTAAACATTCAATATCAAACTACACAGTCACACTCTGAATGTATACGAGTCTGTACGAGTTGATTGTGCTTAAAACAACTCAGTCTGGAAAAATGCAGAGTTTATTTTTCCACAACTGATCAAGTTTAGGAAAAGAAAACAGCTTGTGGAAAAATTAGGGATGCAATGATATAAAAATTTGGGCCGATATCAGTTGTTAATGTTTCTGTTACAAATGATTATTTACTGACATTTCTTTTTCCTACACCAAGAAAAAAAAACAACTAAAGAACAATTGCTAAATATAGCTGAGTTGAAACGATTAATCATGATTTATTTGAAAGACTCTTCTATTAATTTAGCAATCGATTAATCGTAATCTGGAATATTCAGAATCAAAAAAGGACATTTGCTGAAAGAAGAACAAGGTCTGTCACGATAACAAATTTTACTGGATGATAAATTGTCCCAGAACTTATTGCGATAAACAAAAATATTGTTATTTTTAGATAATTTTCAGGTAATATATTGATAATACAAGTACGCCCTCTCAAAAATCAATAAACTTTCATTTTGTAAAGAACACTTAACACTGAAACTGGAAGATATTTTGAATAAACAAAAAATGGAAATAAAATCCACATGAAATCATAAATGAAATAGATTATGAAGTTTGCAAATAAGATTTCCTTGGAAAAATATTAATCATCAGAAATTATTAATCAATTTATTAGTCATTGGAACAGGCTTAAGAACAAAGCACTCAAAGCAGGAACTAAACCAAAACTGGACAAACAATAAATACATTTTGGATTGAAGATAAAAAAGCATAAAAACTCATTAAGTGTCAGTTTTAATATCACCTGGTGCAAAATCTGTAAAATATTATCTCCCATTAAGTATCTTTTGCTATCAAATTGTTAATCAGTTAATCCAAAATATAATAAACAGGTCAGCCCCACATAAATATTTCTTATCAGCTACAGATTCTTCCATTGCTACAAATAATCAACCACTCGCCAAGGAATGCCACATTTTAGGCAATAACATGTTTATGTTCTTATTTTTAGAAAGGAACTGAATTATTTGTTTTCATCTTTTGTTGTGTTTCTAATATTTTATTTTTAAAAAGACTTATGTGTTTAAATGAAAAATCTGAAGAATGCAACATTTTTTTGTTCGATTAATCATCAGAATAATCGATTAATCGCCAGAATAATCAAATAATTGATTACTAAAATAATAACTTCTCACAGGTATTGATATTTATTTAGCACACATGCTAGTTATTTAACATTTAGCATTGTTTATGTTGTAGTTTTGTGACTGTACTGCTCTGGGACTACAAATGGAAGCAGCTTAAACTGCCAATCTGGTGCAAAACATCTTTTTTTAATGTGTTTGTTTTAAATGAGCTGAACAGCTCATAAAAAATAATTCAACTTAATTATAATTTTCTGCATTTCTTTTTCAAATTAAACTGTAAAATTGTAGGTTCTTAAGTTATTCTACCATTGTTATTAAATTTGAATTATATTTCTTTTTGTAAGGTTTTCACCTGTGAGAAACGAAGTTCAATAAAAATGCAATTTTAGCTCGGATTTCCTGTGAATGAACCAAAAATTGTGGATAATTTTGTGAATGTGTTAAATCCAGATGAGTTCTGCATTACTTCCTCCTGAAGAAGCTTCAGTCTCTGAGGAATCGAGTAAACGCAGTGAAACTGGGTCAAAGGTCATCGCTGAGGCGCTGCAGCATTAAACGCTGCTGCTGTTGATGTTTGTCTCCTGGTGAAATCTGGAGAAATCTGTCTTTTTTCCAGGCGGTGTGGGATTTGGAGATAAAAACGTGTTTGTTTCTTTTTCTGTGTTTAACCTTTGACCCAAGGCGAGCGGATCGGAACTTATTGTCTGATGGAATGTGACAAGAATCCGCCGTTTTTTGGTTTTTTCCCCCTCTGTTTTTTATTCCTGAGGGTTTTTTTTCCATTTGCTTTTGTTTGATACATTAGTGCATAGGAGAGGCTTTTCTTTGAAATGTGTTGCTTGCAGAAGCACTTTGAGTTCGAACAGAGAGCAGCGTTTTTACCCTGAGTCATTTAAATTCTCCTTATTCAGGTTCAGCTTGGCTTAATGTTTGGTTTTATGTTTCTGTATTCAGACAAATGTCTATGAGGCATGGTTGAAAAAAAATGTTTTACTTTAGATGTGCTTTCTATAACGAAACATCCATTAATACGTGTTTTGTGCTAATAGAGACAGATTTTCCATCTGTCTGTCCGTCTGGCCAAACTGAAGTTTGTAAAGATTAAAAGGTGAAGTCTGAGTTTCTGCTGAAGTTTTAATTATGTTTTTTAAAAGTGTAATTCTCTCTCTCTCTCTCTCTCTCTCTCTCTCTCTCTCTCTCTCTTTCTCTCTCTTCTGCTCGTTTCTTTGAGTTTTGTTGCTGTAGCCTTCAGCCTCCACAAGGGGGCGTCTGCACCACTCTCTTCCTCTGTTTATGTGCCTCGCCCATAATTGTTGTCTGAGCTTCATTTATATATCCATTTTTACCCCAGAGGTGCTGCAGCAATGAAGGCCGAGTTTTTGCTTTTGCTTTAATAATTTGGGTAGAAAATTAAAAAAAGAGCTTTAATTTTCAGATATTTATAAATAAATTTGAAGCACAACTGAGAATGTTGATTTATTTATCATAGCACATAAAACAGATCAGTATTTATTGTAATTGCTGATTCGTTGCATTTCCTGCATCAGGTTTGTGACCCATCAGACTTTTGCATGGTTCGTCTGTGTTTTCGTGGCTTTTTCTGCAGCTTCTTTCAGTTGTTGCTTGTTGGAGAGGATTAGTTCCTCCAGTCTCTTTCTGTAGATTCTGGATTCATTTTGCTGCAGTCTTAGTTTCTGTCATCTTCAGAGGAAGATTAATCAGCCATGCAAGCCCAAACCATCTTTAATATGAGCAGATTGTTTCTTTAGCATTTCTGTTGCTTTCCTAATGGTTTGTTTTTGTCTCTTTAGTCCATAAAACATCACTGCAGATATTTTTGGGTGGTTTTAATACAGCAATTAAAAGCAGATTTTATGCACAAATGTGTACTTTAGAGTATATATATCAATGAATATATGTGATCCTGTTTAAAGGGAAAGATGATCAGTTTCTGTTGCATCTGACTTTTTTTTTGAAGTAGCCATGTTTGGTCTGCTTTAATCAACCTTTAGTTCGTTTGCATAGAAAGTTTGGTTCGTTTGGGAAGGTGTGAATGTGTAACCAAACTCTGGTCCACCTACAAACCAAGGTCTTGGTTCAGTTGAAGTGAACTTTGACACGTTTCAAATTCATAATATGAACACCAAGCGGCTCAGAAGATGCTCCAAAAACAGGAGGTGAACCACATCAAATCAGTAACAATATATATTGTCATAGTCAAGTTATCAATATCAATAGATAATACATGTGATACAATACTCAATATATAGAACCAGAACCGCACAACATTCTGGATTAAAGTGTTTGCCACTTAATGAAACTGAGGTTAAACCAGAATAAACGTTCTGCTACGAGACATTTCAGTTAAAATCAGGTCCAGCCAGGAGACGTGCTTACGTTCGGGTCGACCCGTTGAGTACCTGCGCCGCCCGTCCTGTCATTGTGACGGCCACAGGAAGCGGACCTGCAGGTCTGTTCCTGGCTTCCTGTCCAAGCTGCTTGGTTTCTGCAGAGAAGAGGGAGCGATCTCACGTAGGCCAGCGAAGAGCCGGCTTTGGCTCTCTGTTTCCATGACAGCCGCTCTCTCGCAGCATTCAGCCGTGGGACGGCCTCTGCATCTGAAAGCAGTTCCCAGCGGTGTTTCAGAGCCTCTCGTTCTCTTCCTTCAGCTGCTTCGCTTCTTCTTCTGCTTCTTTCTCCGCCGTCCCTGTGTGCATTTTTTCTTTCCTAAAGCAGAAGTATTTCATCTCATCTCGACGCAGTACTTTTAAATCTACGTGTCGAGCATCATTTGCATCTGAAGGAGGGCAGAGATCAGCCTTTGTTGCGTTTGTAAATTCTTTAAGACTGTGAGGTTGAACTCTGAGCGAGAACACACTTTAATTATTCACACCAGCCGTCCTGTAACGATTCAGATATTAACTCAGAAACAGAGAGAAGACGTGCTTTTTTTTCTTATTTTGTTGTGCATTTATCTACAACTTGGATGCATTCGTGTGATTACAAAAACCTCGACTGTGTTGATGCAGAAACAGATTGACGCATCTGATGGGTAAGATTAAACCTCAGAGGCTTCCAGTAACAAGTCAGAGAGAAAACATCGACCTGCACTTCCTTTCCATCATCGTTCAGTCATTTGGGTTAAAAGCAGTCTGACCTAGATAAGTCGTATTTGAGTTAAAATATCAGCTGCTCAGGCCTACAGGTTCAAAACTGAAAGAAAATATCCCCAAAAATTCTCAGCAGTGGGGAAATCCTCAGCTAAAGAAAACACCTGCAAGACACCAGCTGCGTTTCCAATACAAATGTCAGCAAAATACAATTTTTCAATTTCATTGTTTCCATTAAGCAAGAAGCACCATAAGATCACTAAAAAACATTTAAAAACATGCCGCACCTTCATCCGCCAATTATTTCCTGTTGTCTTCTTAAGTAGCTGCATTTCCATTCACCAGGTAATTGTGCAATTTTATATTTTGAAAATAAATTCACTTAATGGAAACACTCCAAAGGTTTTGGCAATAGAACAAGGTGTTTTGTTTTTTTTTGGTTGTATATTTTTCAAAACTTCAATAGAAACACTTTTTTCGCATCATGAGTCATGTGATTAACAACTGAATGTTACTACTGGTAAGAACGACAAAGAAGATGAGAGGAAGTAGAAATAGAATTGTCTTTTTTAATGACTTGTCACCTGAACAAACTTATTCACGTGTGATTTTGATTGTGTTTCTTATTTAATTGAAACACTGCAATTGCAAAATTTTGCTTTTTCGACTTTAGTGGAATATTGACCAAGTTTTGCTCACATTTGTAATAGAAATGGAGCTAATAATGTTGAAAAAACACAATATTGCAAAATTTTTACTTTTGAAAGACGAACAAATTTCCACATATTTTTTCTAGAAAATTTCTAAAATTTGTCAGCGGAAATTTACTCCTCCATTTTTTTCCCATCTAAATTGTCCTAATACGACGTCATATTTATAAATACTGAGAAATGTTTATTAAAACTAAAAATCCAATAGATCATCCTCATTGGTTCGGGTTTGTCTTCTGAGACGACAAAGAATCAGAATCGGCTTTATTTGCTAAATTTGTGCACAAACAAGGACGTTTTACTTTGGTTACACTTCGCTCCCATTAAAGACAAAAGATAAATGAAACTTTTTTTTGTAAATATGTATACATACTGTGTTTTAGCAAAGAGGAATACAAGGTTGGATCAGTACAAATATAAAACTTCTTAACTTAGTTCTGCTGCATTATTTGTTTTTACACAGAAGCCCAAACTATTACATCTGTTTTAGACTAACTGCGTTAGTCATGGATGTGGTGACAGAAATCACAAATTACTTCATCAATTAAGAAACTATGATATAATAACACCGCTGTTTGCCTTCAGATTCGACAGATTCACACCAATGTTGCTTATGCTGAAGCGTGACTTCTGCATCTTTAAAGTGACAGCGGGCCATTTTTCCATCTTCAGGATGTCGGTACCTTGGTTTCAGTACTTTCACATAGACTGCTTGTGTAACTTTAGCAGTGTAACTGTGAGAAAAGCGATGAAAGACTGGAAATCATCCATTTGTTTTAGCTCTGACAGCTGCTGCAGCTGCTTTATTGGAACCAGAACATGGCAGATTGTTCCGGTATTCTGGTTCCAGTGTGCTCTGTAACCCATCATCTCTCTTTCATAAAACATTAAAAACACTGAATAATACTCATGTGTGACAGGTAGGGATGCAAGCAACTATTATACCTAAGATTAATTGTCAATTAATGGTTTATTAAGTTAAGATGAACTAATGACGTCTGCTCAGACCTTCTTTCAGTGTTATAGTTTGGCCGCCATCCAGCAGAGGGCGCCGCTGGTCATACTGAATCAAGATTTCCAAAAATAAAATATTCAAAAACCAAAAATTTTATTAGCCGATAAAATCGATGTATCGCCAAAACCACCTTTCCGTCCTTCATCCCACGTTTCCCTCGTTTCACAGTGTACTTTTTAATTGCAACTTCTGGCTCCACATACAAGGAGAAACGTTTCATCTGGGAGAAATTTATGGGGAAAAAAATCAGTGAATGCATTGATGCCGTGCAGGAACATCACAGCTTTGAGAGCTGAGCAGCAGTTGGACTTTTAAAAGATTTATTAGCACTCCAGAAAACATGAAGCCGGCTTGTTTTATAGCAGCATTTTCAGACTTTTCTCTACTCTTTCCGACGTCATAGAGAAAACAAATTGAAGCCTGATTAAACTGGTACGGATATCACATTTCCTAGAGGCGGATGTTCATCTTTAGTGGGGCTCACACAGCAGCTTCTCTGTTGATTAAATCGCAGCAGAGTAATGAAGCAGAAACGAATTCCTCTGTGTACCTGCTGCAGTTCAGTCTGCGCGTTTTCTGTTTTTTTCCCCCTTCCTGGTGGGAGTGTGACTGCGGTCGCGGCTGACTGTTTCTGAGCTACAACCTCCAGAAGACGGAAAGACCAGAGAGCAGCTGCTGGCGACGGAGGTAGAGGGGAGGGAGGGCGATGAGGGGAGCTCTCGCTTGTTGTGAAGAAAAAGAAAGACGTGGAGGTGTTCCTCTGCTTTCTCTCAGTCGGATTCAACCAGCTTTGGGGACTCCCTCTTCCTCCTTTTTCTCCTTTTCCGTCTTTTAATAATTATCCCTATTTTTCCACCAGTGCATGTTTGTTGCACGCAGTCGAGCGGCGGCTGCAAGGTGCGTCGACCGTGCAGCATGGAAACCAGATCCCTGTTCAGCCTGCACAGAGCGCTCGCTCAGCCCGTCAAGATGTGCATGTTTGATTTCCCCGTCACCATCCTGGACGACCTGGTGAGCTCCGACGCCGCTTCGCACCGAGACGCCTGCCTGTCTGTAAGCAGGCGTTACATTTTTAATGTCTGCTCGCGTTATTATTATTTATTCTTTTGCATCTGTGTGTGCGCTTTTGATGCTTCACGACTGAACGTAAGAGTGCATGTGCCAAGCTGTCGCGGCGTAAACAAAGTCTGATAAATGTATGTTGTTTTTCTTGTGCTGGTTTTTTGCATAAAACAAGCAGCAGGATGATATCTGCAGAGAAAATGTGGTCGCTGCTGTACGCATGTGTGGTTTATAGTTTATCACGTAAAAGGGCTCTAAATCTGCAGTTATGCATCGTCAACAGTACACCCAGTGTCGAGCGATTCGACTACGAGTTTGAGTCACGGATTGATGTTTGATTTAGAAATGATTTTTCTATTCAAAACTATGTGACTGAGAAGAGGAAAAAAATTGTGTAAACAAACGGAACATTTATGCAAAACAGTTTCATACTGTATAAAATTCCATCAATTTATATTTCTGCATGAAATTCTGTAACTTATATTACCAGAATTAGGTTAGCTTGGTCGCCTGGCTTTTTCTTAAATAAAAAAAAAAAGAAATCAAAGACTTGTTCAAAAGCAGAGTAGCAGAGTGGACACATGACGCCATATCCAGAATACTCTCAAATGGGAGCGGCAAAGGCTACAACTTGAATGCATTTTAAAATCGATTTTAGAGCATTTTGAATCATTCAGGATTCCCAGGACTAGGAATTGCTCTCATGTGACGTCACACTTCCGTGAACTGACAGAAATCTTGTTGCTATGGGGTTGCTATGACAACAATAAACAAACCACAAGCTAGGAACTAGCTCTCGCCTCGTTCCTATCTAACTTAGGGTGCATTCACACTGCAGCCTGAAGTGACTCAACTCCGATTTTTTTTATGTAATGCGACCTTTATCCGATCTTTTCATGGCAGTGTGAACAGCACAGCTGGGATTCTTTTTTGAATGCTACCCATATCCGATACATATCTGATTCAAATGCGACCTAACTTCCAGGTT